ATATATATATATTGATACTTTTTGTGTGTTATCATATGTAACATTTTTTGTGGTGATACTTACAAATTTTTTTAATTCTTTTAGTACTTATCGTTATTTATTTATTTATTTTTTACGTTAACTCTTTTGTATTGTCATGATAAAAATATTTAATTTTATATTTCTAATATTAAATTTTGAAGTTACATTAAATTAGGTCTCACAATGTTTTATGGGTCTTTTTTATGAATTTTTTTAATTTTTAATGTAATTATCTTAAAAGACATATTTTGGGATGAAAAAAAAACTATACATGCATATATCTGCAAAAAAAAACCTATTACAAATTATAAATGAATAATTAAATAGATACCTACTTATTAATGGGATAGTCAAGCAGAGATGGATAATAAGGTATTTGTATTTGTGAGTACCCATACTTTAAAAATATTAAAAATGCTTTTAGTATTTATATATAACATAATTTGATTTATTTTTTTCTAGAAATATATATGTCTTAATTATTTATTTTAGGTTTAAATATATGTAATAAAATTGTTTTTAATATACATATATGTTTTAAAAAAATATTTTTAGTTTTATTTTATTTCTTACATTTTTATTTAAAACTTTACATTTTAACAAATATTAATTCATAGATATAAAAATAAATAAATAAATATATATATATATATATATATATATATGAATACCCACATTAAATAGGGCGAGTGGAGGGAGATTAATACTTACTATAATATCATCCCTAATCATATTATATTAGTGATTTTTTAATTTTTTGATAATGTAAAAACTTTAATATTAGTTGTGCATACTATTAAACTATTTTTTAATCAAAATTAGAGTTTTATCACTATAATTTGTGCAATAAAAATTTGCATTAAAGATCAATATAAATTATTAAGATGAAACTTTAATTTTAACTACAAAATAATACAATAGCATCTAAGAAATTATATATAAGTTTTTTCTTTTAAAAATTATTAAAAATATCAAATTTATTTATGTACTTTTATATAATTTAAGTTTTTGGCATAGTGTTGATATTTGTAACAAAAAGTAATTATGCTATGTAAGTAAGGAAAACTACACATTATGTTATAGGATTAAATTTAAATTATAATTTGAAAAATCATCATCATTAGTTTAATTTGACACTTATATTTTATATATAATTCTTGACTTGAGTATAAAATTACGACTTATCATCTTACTTCTAATTAGGTCGAGTATGAAATCATGATTTACCATCTTACTTTGATTGTGTCAACTCGACGGGAAGAAAGATATATACCTCATAATTATATATATAAAGAAATATTACGAGAAAAACTTAATTCCTTTTCAATGGTCTTCTATAATACCTTCTTGATGATAATATTACATAATAAAAAACAAAAGAAACATAGATAAAATTTAAAGACAAACAGGAGTGGTACCTTAGACAAAATAACAGAAACAATTAATATACTATCCACTCACATATGCTCCAAAACATGTATATATACGGGTATTTCAAGCATGCATGTAGGGTTTTATTTGAAAGAGTAGTAATGCTATTTCCACAACAATCTCACAATAATTTTTACAACAAAGAAAAAGATATATAGAAAGGGAAGAAATGAGAAAAGTAATATAATAGGATGGTATGAAAAGAAAAAAAACAGATGCTGTGAAAAAATATTGTTGAAATGTGAGTAGAAATAGCATTATTCTATTTGAAAACACTACGAAGTTTACAACTAAGCCAAGCCCAAGGATAAGCTAACGGTCACACCATTGTAGCTTTAAACTATATGTAGATAAACCAAACAAAGGTAAATTATTAACTAGTCTTGAACTATCACGTATTTATATATAATCCTAACTAATCACAAGACACATAGTTAAAATTTTCAATTTATGACAAGCAATTAATGATGCTTATCAACTATGTGTCATGTGAAAATTAGTTAAAATTATAATAGTTCAAACCATATAATAAATTTTCTTGAACAACATGTGCATGCATGCATACATGTAACGATAACAATCTCGAAACAAAAGCTACTAGTTGCGTGGTGGTGCTCTTCCATTATGCTGAGGATCTGGACCTCCTGGTGCGAGTCTATCAGCAGGTGCAAGTGGAAGACTACTACCAACTCGAACATGTACATGTAGGTCATGGAGAAGGCTTTGGATTTCAACAACTTTTTTGTGATGATGACCATGGAGACTTCGAGCCTGCAAAGTCATGAAGAAGAATGTAGAGAACATGATTAGTGCAAGAATACACACTTGGGATGCACTTGTATTCCCCATGATCATGATCAAGGTGTTATAAAAAGTGAGAAGGATTATATAAGGTTGAGATGGCTTGTAGAATGGTCAAGGGGTTAGAGTAGTTAGGAGGGTTACTACAAGCACTATTTATACGTGAATGTGATTAGGTTTAGGTTAGCAAGAGCCCATCACTAGTGAATGTAACACTAAATATTTATTTCAAAAGTTAAGTCAATATTAAATACATGGATTTTGTCATTTGTATGTTCCTTAATTGCTTAATTAATTATTCTTTGATAGTGACTTTATTTTACACCAATATCTCACTCATCTACCAAGGCTATCAAAGTGATAGAGGGGTGGTTAATTTAGCCTACTAATTAGTAGGAGTCAAGTTTAAAAAGTTTTGAAATCGATTTAATTTAACTAACTTGAAACGAGCTACTTCACAATGAGGCAAGGTTGGCTAGGTGGACTTTAGGTTTGAGTTTAATAAGTTTTGAAAATAGATCAATGATTTGGACATTTGTCATTCTTGAATTTAGGCATTTGATGTATTAGTGACAAGTTATATATATATATATATATATATATACCGGTACATAAAATCAAACATTTAAAAACAGTTTTTATAAAATTTATTACCAATTAAACAATTTTTTTTTCCAATTTTTTAATTTAGGAAAACTGAAAACTATTTTCAAAAAGAGTAATTAAAACAGATTAAAAAGAAAAACACTTATATGTCTGATATATATATATATTTTTTTTTTACTCTGTAAAATCTAATATTAGATTGAAATTAAAAAAGTTAGAAGTTCAAATTAAGAAAAAAGGTCAATGGTTTGACTAATTTGAAACGCAACCCATAAAAGATTGATCTAGGATAGTAAATTTCAGGCTTTCAAATAAATTGGCTCGATTTAATTCAAAAGGTTAAATAGGCTCAAGCCAACCAGATTTTAGAAGAATGCAATTGGAACCAATATGCATATTTAATAAAGGTTGATTGTCATCTACTATCAATAAGCTCAAAAGAATACGTTGCTAGAGATTTAATCTAAAATGAAAAGTAGGTTTTCACTTAAAAAGTTTAAGGGTAAGTTTGGAGTGATAGATATCTAGTCGTAAGTTTAAAAAATATCGATACAAGCAAATTTTAGTTTTAAAAAATATTTAGTTTTTTATTTTATTTTTTTATTTTTAAGTTTTAAAATAACCTCATTTTAAATATAATATTAAAATTAGTTAAAAGATCTTTATATTAACAATGATAATGATATAGTTAGAAATAATTATAATAATAAATATAATGACAATGATAATAATAATAATATTGAAGTTGATGATAACTATAACATCAATAGTAACTATAATGTCAATAGTAGTGATGATAATATTAATTAGTAATGGAAGTAACAACATATCAATAATAATAGAAATGATGGTCTTTAAAATATAATGTGTTTTTCTAAAATTAAAACAAATTTCATAAATTATTTTTTATTGGTTTTAAAAATGAATATAAAGTAATTTGGAATTGAGTTAAAAATTGTTTCTATAACTCTTTTTAACTAAACTCTTTTTTTTTTTAAATTACATTTATAAACCAAATAAAATTTATAATCTTATAACAAATATGAGAAAACACATATCTGTTTAGTCTGATTAATATATGTATGAAAATATTATAAGATAACTTGATCTCTCCTATTTATTTGATAAAATTCATG